TGAGACACTACCAGACTGTTTTCCAAAGTAGCTATACTATTTTAGATTCCTACTAGCAATGTATGAGCTTTTGAATTTTTCCATATCCTCACCAATGGTTGTCTGGATTTTTTATTATAGCAAGCCTAGTGGATGAAAGAGGTGTCATTGTGATCATGTTTTGCATTTACTTAATGAGTATGATACTGAACATCTTCCTATGCATTTATTGGCCATTTGCATATCTTCTTTGGAGCAATATCTGTGAATTTTTTAACCATTCTTAATTGGGCTATTTATCTTTTTGTAAGAGTACTTACTTTATATATTCTGGACCAAATCCTTATCAGATATACAGTTTGAACATAGTTCTCCTGTTCCTTGAATTATCTTTTTACTTTCTTGAAGGTATCCTTTTAAAAATACACATTTTGAATTTTTAATGACTTTCACTGTTACAATTTTTTTCTTTTGTCACTTATGCTTTAGGCATCATATTTAAGAAAACACTGCCTAACCCAGGGCCACAAAGATTTATTCCTATGTTTTGTCTAAAGAGTTTAATTGGGCTGGGTACATAGCTCTGTGGTCTAGTGTCCATCTAACATGCACAAGATCCTGGGTTCAATCTCCAACACTGCAAATAATAATAATAAAAGAGTTTTATTGTTTAAACTTATATTTAAATCTTTGCTACGTTGAGATTTAAATTTTGTGTATTCTGTGAGAGAGGAGTCCAATTTCAATCTTTTGCATGTGGCCATCCAGGGATTCCAGGATCATTTATTGAAAAGACTGTTCTTTCCCCATGGAATTGTTTTGGCAACCTTGTGAAAAATCAATTGTCCATTAATACAAGAGTTTATTTCTGGCCTTTTAAATCTATTTCACTCGTCTATATTTCTGTGCTTATGTTAGCACCACATAGTCTTGATTATTATAGTTTTGTAATAAGTTTTGAAATTAGAAAGTATGAATTCTCCAACTTTGATCTTTCTCAAGGTATTTTTTGGTACTCTTAACTCCCTTGTATTTCCACACAAATTTTAGGACAAGCCTCTCAATTTATGCAAGAAACCCAGCTGAGATTCTAATAGTTATTACATTAAATCTGTAGATCAATTTGGGAAGTATTCCCACCTTAACAATATCAAGTTATCAAGTTTCTGGTTCATGAACATAAATCAACTGTATAAAATTAGTCATTTTAATAATGTGACTAATTTTTAATAACATGATTAATTTCATTTAGTTCTTTTTACATTTTTTTCAACAATGTTTTATAGTTTTCAGTGTATAGTCTTGTTTTGTTAACTTATTCTGAAAGTCTGGGTGTTTTTGTTTGGTTTGGTTTGGTACCAGGGATTGAACCCAAGGCACTTAACAACTGAGCCACATCACTGGCCCTTTTTATATTTTTATTTTGACAACAGGGTCTTGCTAAATTGCTTAGGGCCTCACTAAGTTGCTGGGGCTAGCTTTGAACTGGCAATTCTCCTGCCTCAGTCTCCCAAGTTGCTGGGATTACAGGCATGTGCCACTGTACCTGTATTCTTTTTGATGATACTGCAAATAGAATTGTTTTCTTAATTTCATTTTTGGATTATTCATTGCTAGTATATAGAAATGCAATTAGTTTTTGTACATCAGTCTTGTATTTTGTAATATTGCTGAGCTCTGGTATATTAATTCTAATAGATTTTGTTTGTTTGTATTTTGTTTTGTGAATTCCTTAGGCTTTTCAGTATACAAGATCTGTGAGTAGATACAGTTTTACTTCATTTTTCCAATCCAGTGTTTTTAATTCTTTCTTCCCTAATTTCCCAGTTAGAAGCTCAAGTACAATGTTAAATACAGATGGTAAGAGCAGAAGTCTTGCCTTATTCCTAATATTAGGGGGAAGTAGCCAGTCTTTTGTCATTAAATATGATGTCAGCTCTTGATATCTGCATCTTTCAAGGTGATCACATGAGGCTTTCCTCCCATTATTCTGTTAGCATTGTGTAGAACATTGGTTAATTTTTCAGATGTTAACCAACCTTGCATTCCTTGAATAAATCCTACCTTGTCATGGTATATAATCCTTTTAAAACATTGCTAGATTCAGTTTGCTAGTATAAAGTAAGGATTTTTCCAACTGTATTCATAAGAGCTATAATCTCTAGTTTTTTTCATTATGTCTTTATCTGGTTTGATTATCTGGGTAGTATTGGCCCCATAGAATTTGAGGTAGGCAGTGTTTTTTTTTTTTTTTTTTTTTTAAGAGGTTGCAAAGCATTGGTGTTAATACCTCTTTAAACATATGATAGAATATATCAGCCATCTAGTCCTGGGCTTTTCTTTGTGGGAATTTTTAATTTTAGTTATTTGTTTACTTAATTATTTATGTGGTGCTTGGGGTAGAACCCAGGGACCATTGCATGGTAGGCAGGCATTCTACTATTAAGCCAAACCTTCAGCCTAAAAGTTTTAAATTATTAATTTACTTTCTTTCCTTGTTATATGTACATATAGAATTTAATTACTTTTTCACACTAAATATTTTTTAATCATTTAAAATGAAATATTTATTGAGTATTATATTTGCTGAAGGTTTGAGTTCTCATATTCTTTCATGTTTTCTCTATATACATATTTTGTTTATTTATATTTAAAGTAACTCTATTCCTTGTAAAAATATTGCTACATGCAATTGGTAGAGAATGGAGATCCTTGGATTTGCTGCATGTATTGTGGTAGTTATTTAAACTCTTAAGTATTCTTGAAAAATGTCAAATGTGTGAGAAATATATTATTATTATTATTACAATCAAAGTTTACATTAGTGCTTACCCTTGATATTTCTTCAAGGACATGATTGTAACAAAACAATCCACTACCCCTATTCTTCATCTGTAGAACTATCCATTGCCTTCTACTCTTGGGTGATCATCAATAGAAGCATGTATTAGCTTCCTAGTGCTGCTATAATGAAGTATCATAAATGGGTTGCTTAAGACAACAGAAATTTATTCTCTGACGATTATGGAGGTTAATAATCTGAAACCAAAGTGTTGTCAGCAGGGCTGTGCACCCTCTGAGACATTGGGTAGAACCCTGGCATCTGATGGTGGCCATCAATCCTAGGCATTCCTTTGCTGGCAGCTGCATCACTCCAGTCTCTGCCTCACTCATCACATGGTATTCTCTGTTTTGTTTTGTTTTCTCTGCATACAGGTGGTGTTCTTATTATGTATACATCAGTCATATTGGATTAGACCCCATCCTAATGGTCTCATTTTAACATGATTACTTTAGCAAAGACTTTATTTCTTTTTCTTTTGAACTGAGGATTGAACCCAGGGTTTTTAACCACTGAGTCACATCTCCAGCCCTTTTTATTTTTTATTTTGAAACAGGGTCTCATTAAGTTGCTTAGAGCCTTGCTAAGTTGCTGAGGCTGGTCTCAAACTTGTGATCCTCCTGCCACAGCTTCTTGAGTCACTGGGATAACAGGTGTATACCACTACACCTGGTGGCAAAGATTCTCTTTCTAAATAAGGTCAGGTTCACATGTATCAGGCATTAGAATCTCAATATATCTTTTGGGGGAGACATAATTCAATCCGTAACAAGGTATTATGCTCTAACTCTGAGATCTTGAGTACAGGTCTCATTTTAATAACATGACTATAGTTTTTAAGAGCTTTTATGGAAGTTTCATGGTGTATCTGTCTTTAAAAAACAAGTCCTTTTTACATTTTACAATAAGCCCTGAAGATATCTTCAAACCCACACATGGGATTTATCCTTATGTTGGAAATTAAGCAGAGATGATATGAATTGGATTATGTGCCCCCCGCCCCACAAAAACGGGTTATATTTAGGTCCTAATCCTGGTACCTGTAAACATGATCTCATTTGGAAATAGAGTGTTGGTGTAATCAAGTTAAGATGAGGTTATTAGGGTGGGCTCTGATCCAACTGTTGTCCACATAAGAGAAAAAAAATATAACATATGAACACAAGAGACAAAACAGAATGAACACCATGTGATGATCTATAACTAGGGCTCATAAAAGATTTTCAAAAGCAGCATCTCTCAAATCACAATGTATATGCCCCCGAAATAAAAAGTCACATAAAAGTTTGTGAGTGACTATTTCAAATAGCAGGTAACTGCTCCTGTGCTGTTCCTGACCATAATCACAGGAATCTTTACATAGACCAGTTTAAACAATGTCAAAAGCCATCTCTGCAGTGAAATAAAATAATAAGGCTTATGCAGTCATATTCATGTATTGGAAAATACTATGCATATAACCTGTTGTATACATATATGTATACAATGTATAATGGTAAGTACTATGTACACTATAAATTGGAACAATGTTTAAAAAAAAAACAGGATAGCATCTTTTGAGCCCCTGTCTGGTGGTCCCATTGCTAGTTTCATTTCTATTTTCAATAATGCTCCTAAGTATTTTCTTGATCCACAAATGCTATCATCTTTATTCTGTCACAATGCAAGTGTTTTTGAATGTCTGTGATTCTTTAGTATTGTGGAGTAGTGAATTATAGCACTCTTGGGGGCAGGACTAGAGAATCTGAATTATTTTTTAAATATTTTTTAGTTGTAGTTGGACACAATACCTTTATTTATTTATTTTATTTTTATGTGATGCTGAGGATCGAACCCAGGGCCTCATACATGCGAGGTGAGCGCTCTACTGCTGAGCCACAACCCCAGACTCTGGATTATTTTTTTGAAAAGAAAGCCCATCACGCAAACTACTGCCCTGTTCCTGTAGCAGAGAAATGCTGAGACATTCATACTTGTTACTCCCACCAAGTCTTAGACTCATGCCTTCAATGTTCAGGTGTGTGTTCTTCAGTTGCTTTCCATTTTGAATGAAAGCATTGGATAATTCTTACATCCCCTGTGGCTACCTCACTCATTTCTACTCAAGTTTCAATTATGAAACAAATCTGGAAAATTTGCTTAATTATTCTCTTTTCTTTTTTCTTTTGAAATAACACAGGGCAATCTAGAGCAGCCATGATACCTCCCAAGCATCCTCGGCAGCCCAAGGGAGCTTTGGATGATGCCATTTCCTTTGGAGGGAAAACAGACCCAGAAGCACCAAATGCTTCCCAACCCACACCACCCCCACTGCCAAAGAAAATGATCATAAGAGCTAATACAGAGCCAATCTCCAAAGACATCCAGAAATCCATGGAAAGTAGTCTTTGTGTCATGGCCAATCCCACCTATGATATTGACCCCAACTGGGATGCTAGCAGTGCTGGTTCCTCCATCAGCTATGAACTCAAAGGACTGGACATTGAGTCTTATGACTCCTTGGAGAGGCCTCTGCACAAGGAGCGACCTGTCCCTTCCACAGCAAACAGCATTTCCAGCTTAACCACTCTCAGTATTAAGGACAGATTTTCCAACAGCATGGAGTCCCTGTCCAGCCGACGTGGTCCCTCTTGCAGACAGAGTCGAGGCATGCAGAAGCCACAGAGACAAGCACTTTATCGAGGACTTGAAAATCGGGAGGAAGTAGTGGGTAAAATTCGAAGCCTTCATACAGATGCCTTGAAGAAACTGGCTATTAAATGTGAAGACCTCTTTATGGCTGGACAGAAAGACCAGCTCCGTTTTGGGGTGGACAGCTGGTCAGACTTTAGGCTAACCAGTGACAAGCCATGTTGTGAAGCAGGTGATGCAGTTTACTACACTGCCTCCTATGCAAAAGATCCACTTAGTAACTATGCAGTTAAGGTAAGAAAGTATTATAAATCTCATTTTAATCTTAGCCAAAACTATTATTGGGAGGGAACTATTCTTCTTCCCTTTCTTTCCTCTAATTCCTGTTTTCCACAAAAGTCACTGCACATCTGTCTTACAGAGGATGCTCTTTTTTTTAAACTTTTTATTGGTGCTTTATAATTATACATAACAGTGAGATTTGTTAAATATTTATACATGAACACAATATAACAATATAATTTGGCCAGGTTCATCCCCAGTACCTCCTTTTTCCCTCCCACAGGGAGTCTTATTTATTATTTAGAAGAGAAAACAGACAAGTAAAGAGATACTGCATGCTAAGTTAGAGGTAAACAAGAATTTTTGTGGGAACCTTGGAAGGACTCAGACTCTCAAAGGCAGAGAAATCTTCTTAAAGGAAAGAGTCCTTGAGCTGTAACTGCTTGAGGTAGCTACCTATAAAAATGAAGTCTGCTGTGTGCCTTCTACTCCATGTTTCTGTCTTTATTCCCTACCAAGAGACCTTTGTCTACCTCAGCTCTATAATTCCTCAGCTTGCCAGAGAAACGTTTTTATTGAGGAAGATAACTGATATTTGTTACTGTTTCATGAACTTTGTTTTATAATATTTACATCAAATTTATGAGGTTAAGATCTTTTTTCCATTTGATACACAAAGAAAATTGAGCTGAGAGAGGTAAACTAACTTGCTTAAGGTCACACAGCTAGCTAATACAGCTGGAAATTTTTTTAATTTTTTTATTTGTTATAATTAGTTGGACATGACAGTAGAATACATTTATGCACTTTGATATATCATACTAGATGGAATATAATTTCTCATTTTTTTGAGGGTATATGTTGCAGAATCATATTGGTCATGCAGTCACATATATACATACAGTCTATTTCATTCTACTATCTTTCCTATCCCCACATCCCCTCCCCTCCCCTCCTATCACTTCTTCTACCTAATCTAAGGTAATGCTATTCTTCCCTGGTGCCCCCACCCCCGTCCTGCCTTATTGTGAATTAGCATCCACATATTAGAGAAAACATTTAGTCTTTGGTTTTGTGGGGATTGGCTTATTTCGCTTAGCATATTCTCCAACTCCAACCATTTACTGGCAAATGCCATAATTTTACTCTTCTTTAAAGCTGAATAATATTCCATTGAGCATATATACCACATTTTCTTTATCCATTCATCTATTGATGGACACCTAGGTTGGTTTCATAGTCTAGCTATTGTGAATTGAGCTGCTATAAACATTGATGTGGCTGCATCACTATAGTATGCTGATTTTAAGTCCTTTGGTATAAACCAAGGAGTGTTGGAATTTTTCTTTTCTCTTTTTTTCCCCCTTTATCTTTATTTATTTATTTTTATGTGGTGCTGAGGATAGAACCCAGTGCCTCACACGTGCGAGGCAGGCGCTCTTCCACTGAGCTACAGTCCCACCCCAAATTTTTCTTTTTTAAAAGGCTCTTTTTAAAAAAATAAATAAATAAGGTATTGTATTTTTTATACCTTTAGTTTATTTTTTTTTTATTTTTATGTGGTGCTGAGGATCGAACCCAGGGCTTCACACATACTAAGCAAATGCTCTACCACTGAGTTATAGCCACAGCCCCAGTACAGCTGGAATTTAAACACAGATAATCTTGCCTTTATAGCCTGTACTTCTTCCATTGTGTCACTTATTTCTTTCTTACATGTATACCACCCATTTCAGACAATCCACTGCTTCAAGATGTCCAGAATGCTTGACATCAAGAATTCTTGCCTAGTTACATTCACTGTAACACTAAGCCATGTTTTGTCACTATCACTATAATAAGCATGACATGGCCTATGATCCTGGCTCTGCCATTTGGTATCTTTGTCAATAATAGTACCTATCATATGGAGCTATTGTTTGGTTAGAAGAGAACAAAATGTCCCTGATGAGTAGTCATTTCTTTCATTACCATTAGCTTCTTCCCTACTTCAAGAGAGTAACAGTCTTTGGTCCTCAATTTCCTCTTTTTTTTTTTTTAGATATTTATGATAATAATCCCTATGGGGTTGAGGAAGGATCAAGTGAGATAATGCAGGTGAAAGGTTTTGAAAAACACAAAGCTCTATGTAAAATTAAGGTAATAGTCTCCATTCCATAGTTCCTTTTTATTGATTCTATTCACTGGTTCAAAGCCATCTAACTGGCTTTTACATGTTAATTTGGCTTAGAAAGTCCAGATGGTATCTTGGTAAATTAATGGATAAGGTAAACAATTGACCTTACCTATCTATCAAGACAGAACATACATTTGGACCAGATCCTCAGTTGGCTGCTCTCCACACTTGCAGCATCTATACCTATTGACCATCTTGTGGTGCTAGCAGTGACCCTGTGGGGTCCAGCCTATACTTTTAAAATTAAACCACAGGGGGGCTGGGGATGTGGCTCAAGCGGTAGCGTGCTCGCCTGGCATGCGTGCAGCCCGGGTTCGATCCTCAGCACCACATACAAGCAAAGATGTTGTGTCTACCGAAAACTGGAAAATAAATATTTAAAATTAAAAAAAAAATTAAACCACAGGGAAAACTTCAGAGAAGGAATCTTGCTCCTGTTAATTTATTACTATTGAGTCTAAAAGGCATTTCGAGATTCTGTGTAGCACTCAAGAGCTGTTATATCAATTGGGGTTATGGTGCCTTATCTACCTTGAGTCTTTATTGCTACAAGATCACCGGTGCAGAATGAGTACCTATTTCAGAAAGGGGCACTGAACTATCTGTTCTTTCAAAACAATTGAGAAGTAGGGCTTGACTAACTTTATGTATTATTGCCATGCAATCTTGTCTCTTTCCTAAATCAATGGTCTGGTATTGATTTCTTTGCTTGTAATGATGCAAAAGCAATCTCGAAAGAACAGGTGGCAAGTGATTATATACTGGGAGTTGCTGGCAGGTTTGAGAAAGGATGTTTTACACTAAATGCTGAATATAAATGTCTCTTTGAAGACCCTCTGTGTGTTTCTAGAGGTACCAAATTTACTGTACAGTCTTAGAGTAATAAACTATGAGGATGCTGAGAACCCTCTTTTGCAGAGATAAGCAAGAGACCAGCAATCAGCTCATATGAAACAACTGTTTCTCCTGATTGCCTTCTTTTTTTTAAGATTTTTTTTTAGTTACACATGGGCACAATATCTTTATTTTGTTTATTTATTTTTATGTGGTGCTGAGGATCGAACCCAGGGTCTCACACGTGCAAGGCGAGTGCTCTACTGCTGAGCCACAACCCCAGCCCCTGGGTGCCTTCTTAAAATATCCCTTCCCATATTACTGGAAATTAGAATAGGCTAATAGGTGTGACTCTCTCTTAAAATGTTGGCAAAAGGAAGTCAGTGTTGGAATTTAGCAATCTGAAAGTCAAAGGATACTACCCTACCCTTACCAATCCACTGCAGTCACAGAGTACAAAAATCTTTATTTTGTGCATAATCTAGTTTGCTCCGGCTGCCATAACAATACCATAAACTGGATGGCTTAAGCTACAGAAATGAATTTTCTCATATTTCTGTAGGCTGAAAAGTCTGAGATCAAGATTCCAACTTATTTCTTTTCGGGTGAGGGCTCTTCCTGGCTTATAGATAGCCGCTTTCTCTCTGTCTTCACATGATTGGGAAACAGCAAGAGGAAATGAATGTTCTTGCTCTTGTATCTCTTCTTTTAAGGACACCAGTTCTATTGTGGCTAGGCCTATGTTAGTCACCTTTTTCACTGTTGTGACTAAAAGACCTGACAAGAACAATTAGAGGAAGAAAAGTTTGTTTTGGGGTTCATGGTTTCAGAAGTCTCCATTCATAGATGGCTGACTCCATTCCTTAGGGCCTGAGGTAAGGCAAGACATCATAGCAGAAGAGTGGCAGAGGACAGCAGCTGGGGACATGCCACCAGGAAGCAGAGAGAGAGAGAGAGCACTCCACTCTTCAGGGACAGAATATATACCCCAAAGGCACAACCCCAGTGACCCACCTCCTCCAGCTACACCCTACCTGCCTATAGTTACCACCCAGCTAATACCTATCAGGAGCTGGATGCACTGATTAGGCTATAGCTTTCATAACCCAATCATTTTACCTCTAAATTTTCTTGCATTATCTCACACATGAGCTTTTGGAGGACGCCTCATATCTAAAACATAACAAGGCCCTAACCTTAGGACCTCATTTAACCTTAATTACCACTTTGTAGGCCCTATCTCCAGGTACAGTCACATTGAGGTTTAGAGCTTCAACATATGAATTGGAGTTGGGGGACACAATATAGTCCATCACATTCTGTCCTCCACCCTCTCAAATTCATGCAAATACATATTTTCATATACAGAACACATTCCAACAACCTCAAAAGTCTTATTTCAGAATTAATTCTAAAATCCCAGTCATGGTGTTGACATTCGCATTCCAAAAGGGAAAAATCAGAGGATGGAAAGAAGGAGTGGTGGATCCCAAAAACTCAAAATCTAGCAAGTCAATTTCCATTCAACCTTAAGACTGGAGAATAATCCTCCTTGGTTTGTACTCTTGGTCCAGTGTGGTGGCAGCATCAGCCCTGTGGCTCTGCAAGGTGGCTCCACCCCTGAGATGCTGCTCACAATCATCCTGGCCCTCTAAATCTAGAGAAGCAGCCTCACCTTTGAAGCCCAAGAGGGAACAGCCTTGCCCACTGGACCTGTGGTGGGAAGAGCAACCTGATGTCTCTATCACCTTTGGGTCATTCTTCCCTTTCCCTGAAGAATAGTACATGTTCACAGCCAAGCAGCTAGCTCCATGGTGCAATCCTACAGAATTCAAGGAGTCTGGCAGCCTTCTTTCATTCCATTCTACTTTCTCCTCTTGGCTTAAACTAGCAGTGTCTTTTCTAATATAATGCCATACCTATTCCTGGCTTCTGCTGAAATGGCTGGTTAAATCTGTGAGTCTCACTCATAATCTTTATATCAAATGGTCATTTGGCCACA